TGTTTATATTCAGTCAGATTTGTTCAAAAGTACATTGTACAGTGAATGGTCCTAGGATAAGGGCTGTAAGACCTTTACTTAATTTTGATGAGAGCCATTGGCAGAGTATTTGAGGTGAAAAGCTGAAAATTAAACAGTCTACAGTACACTATATTGAAATATCTTTCAAAAGTTTGGTGTTGATTTTTTTATTTATTGACAATATTTTTGGGAATATTTTGGTCAGGATACAATTTGTAAGAGCTCACCAAAATTGGACAGTTGAAGACTGGAAAAATGTTGCCTGGTCTGATGAGTCTCGATTTCTGTTGAGAGATTCAGATGGAGTTTGGTGTAATCAGAATGAGAACATGGATCCATCATGCCTTGTTACCACTGTGCAGGCTGGTGGTGGTGGTGTAATGGTGTGGGGGATGTTTTCTTGGCACACTCTTGGGGTCCTTAATGCCATGGCCCCTGGTCAGAACCAGATACCATCTGAATGTCTCAACAGAAGTCGAGACTCATCAGACCAGGCAACATTTGTCCAGTCTTCAACTGTCCAATTTTGGTGAGCTCTTGCAAATTGTAGCCTCTTTTTCCTATTTGTAGTAGAGATGAGTGGTACCCGGTGGGGTCTTCTGCTGTTGTAGCCCATCCGCCTTAAGGCTGTGCGTGTTGTGGCTTCACAAATGCTTTGCTGCATACCTCAGTTGTAACGAGTGGTTATTTCAGTCAAAGTTGCTAGTTTATCAGCTTGAATCAGTCGGCCCATTCTCCTCTGACCTCTAGCATCAACAAGGCATTTTCGCCCTCAGGACTGCTGCATACTGGATGTTTTTCCCTTTTCACACCATTCTTTGTAAACATTAGAATTGATTGTGTGTGAAAATCCCAGTAACTGAGCAGATTTGAAATTTTCAGCCCGGCCCATCTGGCAACAATAACCATGCCACGCTCAAAATTGCTTAAATCACCTTTCTTTCCCATTCTGACATTCAGTTTGGAGTTCAGGAGATTGTCTTGACCAGGACCACACCCCTAAATGCATGAAGCAACTGCCATGTGATTGGTTGATTAGATAATTGCATTATTGAGAAATTGAACAGGTATTCCTAATAATCCTTTTGGTGAGTTTATATTGCTTTCATAACCATGACATTTAAATGTATTTATATGTTTTCTTGAATTAAATGTCTAATTTTTTGCATTCAAAAAAATAGACAGCGTGCAATGAAATGGAACAAAACAATCCCGAAAGATGATTAAAACGTTGAATTATTTTGAACTTAAAGGGATAGTTCACCTAAGAATGGAAATTCTGTCATTTACTCACCCTCAAGTTGTTCCAAGCCTGAATGATTTTCTTCCTTATGTTGACCACAGAACATATTTAGAAGAATATGGTTAGCCAATTAGTTGCTGGTCCCCACTGACTTCCATGGTATGAAAAAAAAAAAATACTATGGAAGTCAATGGGGTCCATCAACTGTTTGGTTACGAACATTCTTCAAAATATCTTCTTTTGTGTTCAGCAGAAGGAAGAAATTAATACATGTTTGGAACAATCTCTAGCTTATTTTTTAGAACATCAAACAAGCCATTTTTGTTTCTGAGGACATGTTCATGTGCCCTTAGAGAGAGAAAAGCCATGTTTGAAGTACATGGATAATATTTTTCCCTTTCAGAAAGGCTTTTCATCTTTGAATAGCCACTGATTAAAAGTGGATGGGGGAAGAGAGTGAGAAAGAGATGGAGCGATAGATAGAGAGTGAGAGTGCAGCATATCTTTCTATTTTAGACGTTTTGCTCCATTATCTCCAGGAAATAGGCCCTGTGTGCGAGTCCTGAAGAGCGTTCCCGGATCTCGAGTCCAGGCGTCAGTCGAGCTCACCGCTCACGTGGCCTCGTGTTGTCGTTTTCTTTGGCACCTGGAGACGGTACAGGGAGGGATTTTGCGGCTTTAAAGAGTTTAATTAGACGACTCCCCCTCATGCACGTCTGTGAAATAAGGCCTAGATACACAAAAGGTAACAGAACTAATAACAGGGTTTTTTTCCCCCCAATAAGGCTGCTAATTTACATCACAAATATGATTCATATTTATTTTTAGCACCATATTTTCACCATCTGTAGTGTTTCCACTAGCATCACCAAACTGAATTGGAGAAATTATTGTTTTGAAATAGTTTTTAAACACTTCCCGACCTGCCCCCCATTAGCCAGACATACAGATAGTCCTGCCCCGAAACCCACTCTATTGGTCTAGTCAGTGTTGCTGTGACGGGGTGGTCAGGATGTGCAAACAAACTCCATCCTTGTTAGCCCTGGTAACTTCCTGTGCAATTCTGATACATTGTCAGTCACATACAAGTGCAGTGTGTATATCTACACTAAGTCTGTATTTCTTTATTACTCTATTTTACAAGAAACTTGTCTTCATCTCCTGCCTCCAGCTTCAGCGTTTGTTTTGATACTGAGGAGAGATGGCAGTGCAGCGATTGCCTTTTTATCAAAGAAACATCTCTCTCTCTCTCTCTCTCTCTCTCTCTCTCACACTGACTTTCTCCTCCCCCTCTCCCTCGTGCTGTTGTCTAATCCAGCTTGTGAATCACATGCCGTGACCAGACGTGTGTGTGCGAGAGTGTTTGCGCGTGTCATTGTGCCGACCCAAGAGACTCTGTTAATCATTAATTTTACCGATCAATGTTTCTTCATACCCTGAATAAACACCTCATTTGTTTTTGTTCCCTAATATATCTGTCATAAATCTCTTCCACTTTGTCTTACTTTTCCCCCCACATACATTGTTTCAATAATTGTATCAAGCACATTATGTGATTATTGTTTGAACATTTTTTGGATTATATATACATTAAAAAATAATATAGGCTATAATAATATATTTTGCAAGGATGTATTAAATTTGATTAAAAGTGACATTGAAGACATTTCTATTTCAAATAAATGCTGTTTTCAACGTGGATATTAATAAAGGAAATGTTTCTTTAGCAACAAATCAGCATATCAGAATGATTTCTGAAGGATCATGTGACACTGAAGACTGGAGTAATGATGCTGAAAATACAGCTTTGATATCACAGGAATACATTACATTTGAAATTTTGTCATAATAGAAAACAAACAGTTATTTTTAAATGTAATTCTACGTATATTTCACAGTATTGCTGTTTTTACTGTGTTTTTGATTAAATACAGCCTTGGCAATACGAGACAAAACAAAATATCACGAGACAAAATCATTAAAAGCATCCAACTTTTGAACTATTTATATTTTTCACTGTAAAACCTTTAGGACATGCCGTCATTTTCTCCACCTTTATTGTGATTCAAAATACTTCCCCTCTTATGGAACACAAAAGAAGATATTTTGAAGAATGTTTCCCATACAATCAAAGTTAATAACTTTTGTTTTTCTGTGGACAAAATGTAAAAAAAGAAAGAAAAAAGTATCTTCTTTTAAATCTGTTATTATCTGGATTACATGAAACTGTGGTATGTTTCCATGAGCATGAATTGTTATTCATTCAGACTGTTCCATTCTTATTTTAGGTGAGGTGTACAGGGACACACTTACCTGTGTGGAGTGATCACACCTCTGAGGTTTATGAGACACATTTGAGACAATTATTATAAGACAAAAACATCTATTAATATAAACGCCCCTAAGTAGTTTGTGTTTTGAAAAGCCTATACTGTTCATACATTTTATGACAGTGTATTGGTTTGAGACTTAATGTGCACTTTGTAGTTTGCATAAATATACAGTAGATGCATTTCAGAATCATTAATATAATATTTCCCTCTTGAATTGATATAGTCAATGCATAAAAATAAACTAGCATACAGGCATAGTTGGCACAGTGGCAAATGACTCCGTATGCCGAGGAAAGGATAGTTGCATTTGTGTAATGTGTTTAACATTGCTGTGGAAAATGTGTTACTGTTCAGGGAAGAAGGAGAGGCACGTATAGCAATTGGCATCTCTCAGTAAGCTCACATCAAGCTGCTCATAGCAGAGTGACGACAAAAGATGTTCAAGGCCATTACAGAGGCCCCTTCAGCGCTTGCCTTTTAATCAACAAATCATCTCTCGCTCGCTCTCGTCTTTTTTGTGTCAAAATTAAATTTTTATTATTATTTATTATTTCAATGCACGTTTCACCCTCCTTGTATCGTGACTTCCAAATATTAGCATTAGATTTCATAGATTCAATTCATTTTATGAATCAGTTCAAACTGTCCATTTCAGTGAACTGATTCAATGATTAATTTGTCCCACCAACAATATAAAAAAAATGTAGATAAATTGTTTTGTATTACTTATGTATTGTGTTATTGGTGAAACTGGTCATATTTTCTAGCTTTTGATCATTTATGTATAAAAAGCAGTGTAGAAAACGAGCCTTTATTATTTTTTAAATAGTGTTTTACTATATTTTACTTTTAAACATTTTGAATGATGGTTACAGCCTTTTATATATTATATACATACATACACTACCATTCAAAAGTTTAGGGTTAGAATAGAAATATCTTGAGAAATGAATACCATATTCTGCAACAATGCATTCAATTGATCAAAAGTGGCTGTAAATACACTTTATATTTCAAATAAATGTTGTTCTTTTGAACCTTCTATTCATCAAAGAGTCCTGAAAATGTATCGCAGTTTGCACAGAAATATTAAGCAATATTTTCAACATCGATAATAATAAGAAATGATTTCTGAAGGATCATGTGACACTGAAGATTGGAGTAATGAGGTCTGACATCACAGGAATAAATTACATTGGAAAAAAAAAATTCAAATAAAAAAAACATTCTTTTAATTTGTAATAATAATATAATATTTCACAATATAACTGTTTTTTACTGTATTTTTGATCAAATGAATGAACATAATGGATTAACACGTACTGAAAAAATATGTAAACTAACATTTTGTCGATATCGCTCAGCCTAATCACTTATTTCTCATCTTTTACTTTTCTCCTCAGGTCAGTGACAGACCCCAGAGATGGCAAACGTGTGGCCCTTAAAAAGATGCCCAATGTCTTCCAAAATCTCGTCTCCTGCAAGAGGGTTTTCCGTGAACTGAAGATGCTTTGTTTCTTCAAGCACGACAATGTAAGCTCCCCACCATCCTCTGTTTTTCTTTTTTTTTTTTTTTTTTTATCAGTTAGTGTTACCTAACTCTCGCTATCTACGTGCCGTCCCCATGGTGCCATTAGCGGGTGCCTGGCTAGCTCTCGCTGTCCCTGGGCTGCTGGTGCCTGGGAAACGAATGTCATGTGAAGGCTGGTGTCAGTGCCCACGTTCTCTGGCGTCAAAGCTGACCTCTGGCGCGCTCTGTTTTTGTTTCTCCACAGGTGCTGTCAGCTCTGGACATTCTACAGCCTCCACACATCGACTACTTTGAGGAAATGTATCCTAAACAGAAAGCTACTTTACCAGCTGCTGTCAAAAGAAGTGATTATGATCTAACCAGTTTGGATTCCAAAGAATTCATCAAAAGTAAAAAGTGTGTCTGATACAATAATTAGTTCGGATCGAATCCAGTTTCCCGCTATTGTAATATTTCTCTGTAAAATGTATTATTTCTATTTATTAAAACATATATAATATAATAATAATAATGGTGTTTTTGCAGTACAACTGGACAATTCCAACACTAATATTTATGGCTATCAAGCTTTTATTTTGAGGGACTTCAAGGGATAGTTCACCCAAAAATAAAAATGTTGCCATCATTTACTCACCCTCAAGTTTTAAACCATAGAATTGGTCTTTCATATTATGGAAGTCAATGGAGTCCATCAACTGTTTGGAAAGGTTTGGAAGAACTTGAGGCTGAATAAATGGTGACAGAATTTAAATTTTTGGGTGAACTATCCCTTTAAGCTTCTCTTTTGTTGACAACAGTCGTATTATAATCGCTGCTCATGCAGAGATGAGTTCATGTGGAGCTGCATTTACTGAGAACCAAGCCGTTCGTCGACTCTAAAAACACTGGATCATGAGCTGCTTGTGTTTAAAAGAGCACAGTGTTCACTCAGAATCACAAAGTTACTTTAATTTATTTTTTAAATCACAGCATTTGCGATTTAATAATCACACTAAGCCATATCACAATTTTGGTTTTATTTCAATTAATCGTGCAGGCTTATTTCTTTGTTTTACCTTTTTTTGTTCCAGAATCCTCAAGCTTTCTGTTTATTTACAGATTTAAATGGCATTTTAAATCACAGATTTTCTTTGTGGTTTTTAGACCTTGAAAGCTTAGAGCTTGAAAACTATTTTAAAATTGTAAGTAGCTGAATGAAACAATAGCCTGTAGATTTACAGAGCTCTGGTGTGGAAAGGGCATCTGAGTTCTTGTTTTAAAGTCTTAAATCGTGCATATGCTTTTTGTGCCTTTTGTGGTTGCTAAAGTGGGATCAAGCTGAACATTGTGTTTAGAGAGGTGATGGCTTGCCTCATGCTGTGCTTGAGTGTTTTTGATGGCAAGAGATCCAGTGTACTTATGAGAATTAGTGTGCCATTTACATTATAGACAAAACAGGTCTGATTATTCTCTTCATTCTTTCCTTTGCCTAATGGGTTTGTTCTAGTGGAATATGGATGGAGTTTCATATGGATTTCAGAAAAAGCTGACATGTTCTTTTTAAGGCCCTTTTTCTTCTTGTCAACCCGCACTCTGATATTTCCTAGATGTGGTCTGCAGGACGCTAAAGGCAACCCCAGCTTCTTAATTTGGTATATAATTTAATAAGTGTAATTACACGCTTTCCCCATTTACCGCTCTTGCCCAGTCACCCGATATGCACTCTGTACGCCACTTTTCTGAGAGTATTTTTTTTTTTCTTTCAAATACCAAGAGGCTTTCTATGATTTGAGCTGGAGAGACTCCCTCTCAAATTAGCTGGATTTTAGCTCTTCAAAATCAGGAACAAAAAAGGCTTTTGTGTTAATTTGCTTGGAGATTTATCCTGCGCTTTTGTATTTTTAGATGTTTCTCATGCAGCGTGACCGCTGACTGTGGTCTGGATTGGGTTTCGTTTCACAGTGTTTGGAATCATCCAAAAGACATATAAAATTAGTAAATAAATGCTGTGTGTAAGTATATCCACAAAAGAATGGGTGAACATGCCAAGCAACAAACATTTTAAGCTCTCTACAATGATTGATTTTTTTGGCTTTGAGATGTAACGCACATTCAGTCATATTGCAATGCTTGCATTTCTCCATTTTGGCTACAGGATTAAGGGGGACATATGGTGGGAAACAGGATTTTCCTTGCTTTTCTTAAATAAAAGAGTTTAATGTTATGCAAAAATAACATGAAATGAATATATTAACATATGGTTGGCAAAATGAGTGTAAATGGCAGTCATAATAAGTGGTCATTTACACTCACCTAAAGGATTATTTGGAACACCATACTAATACTGTGTTTGACCCCCTTTCACCTTCAGAACTGCCTTAATTCTACGTGGCATTGATTCAACAAGGTGCTGAATAGAAATGGTGTGAAAACCCTAGAAATGTTTTTTTTTTTTTTTTAACCCTATAAATGGTTGTGTGTGAAAATCCCAGGAACTGAGAAGATTGTGAAATAACCATCAAAATCAAAATTGCTTAAATCACCTTTCTTTCCCATTCTGACTTTCAGTTTGGAGTTCAGGAGATTGTCTTGACCAGGACCCCACCCCTAAATGCATTGAAGCAACTCCCATGTGATTGGTTAGATAATTGCATTAATGAGAAATTGAACAGGGGTTCCTAATAGTCCTTTAGGTGAGCGAACATACTGAAATGCAAACGGTGTCTAATTTTAAGGCTAAGGTAGAGTAGGAAAAAGATCACATATAATTTTAAACCCAGTGGCTATAGTTATTTTACTTAAAGGTACATTGCGCAACATTTCATGTTAAAAATACCTGTTTTTCTAACCCATACATGCTTAAACAATTGCCTGATGGGCTGAATGAGCCCTTCCCTGATTACTGCAATTGCCTCTATATAGTCCTGTACAGTAAAATAAATAAGAGGGATTCGGGGCGGAACTTGAGACTGGGGGTGACGTCATGCGCGTTCACGCTAGGTTGGCTATGTCTGGCAGGTTTGTGTATTCACCGCTACTCTCCGTATTAGCAAAGACAACTCGAGCAACAAAACTTAGTCAACTTTTGACAAAAGTAGAAGGATACAAAGAGACCGGCGTGTAGTTCATTCCAAACCCCAATGCAAACTCCACGTAAGACAAAGAAAATAAAACTTTTGTCTAGTGCCAGGCATCGGAATAAGACGAGAGACAACATCGGGAAGGCTTTCAACAAATTGAGAGATCTCCGGTCTGCTCTAGGGCTCAAACGGGATCCTATACAAAGTAATAACTTACTGTATATTGTTCATAAACGAGTTTCCATAATAATACAATCATAAGTGGATACAGTAAGCATATAAAACAGTTCAACATGGAGAGAGATGGAAACAAAAATGAAGTTTTCTACTACCCCTGTTTTCCCCTCTGTGTAATTTACTCAAATGCCTTTCCTTTCATTTATTTAAAATTACTTGCATATTTATAACTTTATTACCTCTGAAGACATTATGACTGTAACAAAAGATTTGTGTGGCTGATGCTCCTTTGGTTATGAACAGCTTGTGCGATTGTGCATGAGCGTGCACACTTCTGGTTGCAGTTTCGCTTGTCGCCAGAGGGGGCATAGTTCAGCAAAAACTCAGAGACTTGCGCAATGCACCTTTAATTGAAAATAAATGAATAATTGAAATAAAATAAATAATTGAAATAAAATAAATCTGAAACAATATAAAGTAAAAACATTAGAAATGACAAAAGCACAATGAAAATATAAAAAAAAATGATAGAAACAGCTTTTTCAGGTTGGTATACAATATATTCGGAAGAGAGAAATTAAAGTAATCAAATGTAAATTAACACTGAGCACATTGTAAAAATTAAATACAGACCATTACTTACAATTAGTTACACAAATTATTCAGTCTAGAGCAGAAACAGAGAGTGTTTTTCTTTGTCTTTTGTTCTTTTATTAAAATGACGGACAACAGAAGGTTTATTTGGCTGCTGTCACTTTAAGAGCTCATGTAAGGATCCAATATACTGTTACATTACATCCATTATCTCTCCACTATTTACTTTGCAAAACTGACTGTTTAACTGAATAATCACCAAGATGGGCATTCTGACATAATTTTGTGCGCATTTAACCATTTAACCGCAATAAGCCACTCATTTTGGTACTTGTGACTTGGTAGTATACCATTATAAATAATACTAAAATAAAATAAAAAGTCTGTGCACACAAACTTTGAATTCTTGTTGTAAACTCAGCTCTTCAAGTTCCTTGGCTTTTATTCACATTCCATAAATTTGACCCTCAAAATCAGTGCAGAAAATTTGGCAGTTGTGCAAGATATAAAATGATTTAAAAAAAAGTGCAATATGTCCCCTTTTAAGCAATAAAAATGGAGAAGCTGCATCTCTAAAATGTTTCGGTTTGTAAAATTATCTTCATCCTTTACAGTGTTGGGAAGGCTGTTACGTTTTCCATGTTTTACATTATGGTCCACTACAGAAGCAGCAGAATATGAGATTGTGAATACTTATAAACGCACACACACACAGGTGCAAAGGATTCATATTCTGTGTGATAATATTCCCCCTCAGTGCCACTATCTTTGTTCTGCTTAACGTATTTATTTACTCAACGGATTAAACAAAGACTCATATCCTTCTGCTTTAGCACAGCACAGTAGAACCTTTGTCCGCTCATTTAAATGGATTAAGAAACAAAACATCACTGCGGCTCCATAGTGTCTTTTAGAGTCGTATATTCTGAAACCTCTAGGTTAGACATGCAAAAAGGTGTGATCATTAACATGCACATGTACCATTCACATACAAAGTTAATAAAAAAACATGTTCCAGAGCCTGGGGTTCTCGCTGGCCCTCAGCAAACCTGTTTGGAAAGGTTATTTCATACAACACTGCCACTGTGTATTCCAGGCTAATTATATCTTTTGCTGAATGGTGTCTTTCTGAGTGACTGATGTGTGAATTGTGCTCGATGCTCCTTGTCATAATGGCTGTTATTTCTTCATCTGACTGCTCGACTGCAGTTCCATATATGCTGCATTTTACCAGACGCCTGCGGTGAAAGCATATCGGTTAATCAGTCACTGTTTGTGTTATAAACGTTCCCTTTCTCTGCAGGAATGCACTTTTTGTCTTTTGCTCTTTTCAAAACCTAGTGTGCTGCCTGCATAGGGGGCATTTTAAGACATATAGGTGCACTCATAACAATGTGAAGGCTAAGATAGGCAATTATATGCAAATTATATTGCCTAGGATGCATAATTTTGCACACATTTTAAAGTCTG